GCAGTTATTTTTAGTTAGCATAAAGCTAAAATCTAACGATGGTTWTATAATAGCAGCTGAATTCTGACGTGATAAGCTGTATGTTTTATATTCAATTAACATATGATCYGATTAGTCGACTAATCGAATAAATAATCGGTGATTAATCGATTATTAAAATAATCGTTTGTGGAAGCCCTAAAGTGTATTTTTGCCTTTTCTGTTTAATTATTCTGCTTTTAGGAAAAAAAAAAACTTGGACCATTTTACACCATAAATCAGAACCTAATCATCRTCCAGTTTTGTCTTGCATCATTATAAAAGTTTAGCTTTATTCACCGGCTCCACAACTCGACCTGCTGCCTCCAAAATGATCAACATTTATWAAACAAATAAAAACTGAACATTATAAGAGTTTACTGCAGTACTGTCCTGACATAATTATAGGCCCTTGGAAAAACCCCTGATTGTAAAAATCTGCCTCATGTAGTAAAACTGTTTGATCAGCACCTTCTACAGGTCCTGACCTTAAAATAAAACATTTCAGCTGCCTCAAATGTGTTTTTGATTGTTAGAAATGTTGAAAACCACTAAACATTTTCACCAGCTGTCAGCAATTATTGGTGATATAAATAACTTTCTGGTAAATCAGGATCTAAAAGCTCAAACAGATGGATTTACTTGGTATCAAAAGTCTTAAAACTATTACAAGTAAAAAGAAAAACTATAAATTTAATCATGTTTTTATGACAAACATAAACTTCAAACTTTAATAAAAGCTTTGTAGTTTTTATTTTAATTAGCTAATTATGAACAATTAGCTAATTAATGAGTTAATTGGTTCCCTCTGAGACTACCTGGAGTTTATGATTGATTGATTTAGAGCTAATTGATGCTAACGATGCTAACTGTTTATAGATAGAAAAAACGCAAATGAATAAGAATTTGGATAATAATAAACAAACTTACTTTTTACAGCTAAAACCTCTTGGCGACTATTTTTGTAACAAGGAGTCAAGCGTTTTAAACAGACTTTCAACAAGTGGTTAAACTCGACTCGAGTCTGACTTTAAACTTTAACTCGTCCTGTGATTTCTCGTTAGCCTCGGATGCTAACGGAGCCCCCATTGTTGCTCTCCTCGTCGCCCCTCCGACCCCCACCGCCATTACACGAAGCCCGGCGACTCACCCAGAAAATGAGGCTGTAGGAGATGAGGAAAGTCTTCAGGCAGGTGATCACCGGCTTCGTCTGGAGCCGTCGAGTCGGAGGAGACATCCTGCAGTTTGAGTTTAGGGACTGAGAGGAAAAAAAAAAAGTTTCCCTTTCTGCGTCCCGACGCCGCGGAGATAACTGGGGCTGGTCCGGGTGGAGGAGGAGGAGGAGGAGCGGGGACAAACTTGGAGGGAGCAGGGAAGGGAAATGTCGTCAGTTTTCCTGATAACAGCCTTTTCACTCCACTCCTCCGACCCAAAGCCTGCGTCAAACAGCGCGGTTTTAACACCGCACGACGTGATGCCAAAATAAAAGCCGACAGAAAAACTCATCCCCGTACTCTTAATTTACAATTAGTACATTAAAATGTAAGCATTATTATAAGTTTAGATGTTAAGCTTTTGGATATAGGCTGTTTTAAATTTAGCAATTTTCCAAGTAAAGCGTTTTTTAAACGTACCAAGCTTTTGAGTCGCTCAGATGTGTGCTTTTATTTTGACAGCAGAGACTGTGTCTTTGCAGCGGATGTCTGCTGCTCMGTTAAAGGGACTCGTGTAAATAAAAACATTACAACGTGGCAATCGTTGAAAAGATAAGTGACAATCTGATTTTTTTATATCACTTTATCTACCAGTATTTTTTACAGTATTATATGTGTTAAAAAAGTTATTTGATAAAAACCACATTTTAAAGCATTATTACAACTAGAGTTCTGAGTGTTTTAATGAGTTTTATTATTTGGGGCATTTTGTAAACTCATTATTGTCTTTAAGTTTCAGCAACTCACATGAAAAACTACGTATTAATAAATAATTGTAGGTTTATTTTTTATTGTAGAAACGTGTGTGGGGTTAATAAAACGTATTACGTCATAATACATTCATCAGGGGGAGGAGATTTACAGAAACATGAAGACCTTTGATGCCACCAAGTGGTTTTATATTTGATCCAGGAGGATCCTCGAAAACTGGAGATTCAGTTGCTGCGGGAGCTTCTGTTACTCCTTCAATTTACGTTTTTTTATAAAGTGGTTTTTGTCTTTTTACACTTGGAAACTTTTAACTTTTATGTTTTTGTGAAACTCTGGTCATCCTGCAGATTWATTTTTCCTCTTTTTGTGAACTTTCTTTGTGTTTCTGACATGCCCACCAGTCGTTCTGTTCCTGTGTTCATCTTAATGTTCCTCTCAGGTGAGTTAAACTCTAATATATCTTTAAAGAAACACTTCATGTTGACTCTAGAGGGGATTTTCTTAGAGAATCATAAAGTTTGAAAAAACAAAAAAGGTCATCCTTAACTTTATTGAAAGAGTTTACTGCAGTAGTTTTCCACAGATGTTCTGAAATGCAGGTACGCACTCAGTATAAACAAAACACTTATTTTTGTAATTTATTCAAACAAAATCATGCTTAAATCCATTGAAATTAACTGAACTATTTTTTTTGCTGATGTTGTTGACCTGTTTTCAGGTAAACAAACATCTGGTTGGCAGCTGACAATATTTGCTCACAATTTAAGGACCCAAACACTATTAATATAAGAAATTAAATGTGCAATTTTTTTCTTTTGTTCTGATTTTTTTTATCAATCTATATGACATTGCAATTAGTATCTTTAACTTCATTTTGTACTGTTTTTAATTATTTATGATCATTATTTTTTTTAAATATAGTGAAAACTTAGACAATAGGAGTTAAATAATTAATTTTGTTTCTGGGAATCATCTCAGGACCCCCTGTGTGGTCCTAACCCCAGTATTGTAACCACTGATCTAGAAGATCCACAAGAAGAAGCAACAACATCTCACGTTTAAGAATTTATTTACTGCAAATAATGCAAACTCTCAAAAGTTGGTTAACGTTTGCTTTAAAGCACACAAGTCAAACTAAAGGCCCGTGGGCCAAATGTGGCCTGCCACTGCATTTTATGTGGCCCGTGAGAACTTCAAAAAGGTATTATTGTCTTTTAAACAAGTGCATTCTACTGTAAAGCCAGCATTGACCATAAACTACATCTCCCATAATGCACGTTGAATAGTTTACTCTTGAAATAATGGCATCCCACCACTAGGTGGAGGTACACAGGGTTCAGTGAAATTAGCCATGTAAAGTCTCCAAGTCGCTGTGTTTTTGTGAACCACCTTTGGGCCCCGTCCCAATAACCGCACTCCCACCCTCGTTCCGCCCTTGTGCACTTCAAATGTGCGTTCATGTTGAAGGGTTTGTGTGTGTAGTGTCCCACATTCTCTACATCCACCCTTCGCTCCGCCCATTTTGGGAACTATTTCCACCCTTACGCAAAGTCTGCATTTTTACGGACTTCGGTGAACTGTATTACCCACAATTCATTGCTGCCAAAACAGTGACCTTTTTTGTAAATAAACCTTTATTGAACATTCAAACATGGAACAAAAAATAACAATGCTGCCAGTGGGAATGAAGAACTGTAAATGAAAAAAGAGGAAAAATCATGAACTGTATTAATATATGTAATAATAATAATAATAATAATAATAATAATAATAATAATAATAAACATTAAATAAAATGATGACACCACAAAAAAGAACCAATCTCTACAAAGTTAAATCAGGAATTCGAAAAAGTGAACAAGACATGGTAATTTTTTTGCCTTCTGATTATTAGAGAAGTGAACAGATTGCATGTATTGTGTAAAATCAATCATCATGAAGGAGATAAAAATTGTTTCTTTCTTTAAACATTTGCTTTTATGTATGTGAAATTTGGCCTAACAGCGACCGGTAGCCACTGGTGTTTGATGATGTAATCTGTACTGTCCCAGTTCTCAATTGTTTTGCACGCTTGTAACCTGCACACTCGAACACTTATGTGCACTTGGACTGAATCCACACTTCACAGAGGGGTGTAGGGTGCGCACTGAGCAGTGGGATTGGGCCTCGCTGTGGCTCAGTTGTACTGGGAAGTGGGAATTTCCCACTTACAAGTCGTAAATTTAAACTGGAACATCAGTCCAGTGGGAATTCCCTGTCAGAAAGTGGAAAAGATCAGAATTCAAAACTGCAGCTACTCATCACAACTCAGCTGTGAGTAAAACTATTTTACTTTTAATAGTATTTCTGTATTTATTTCACATTTAATCAGTTGTACATGTAATACTTTTCAGTACGTTTATGAGATGTGTTAAAACTCTGTTTCTATGCAGGAAATACCACGTAGAGCTGAGTTATTGTTTGTTAGCAATGATCAGGAATGTTACATTTTGTCTTTTTAGTTGAAGTTAATTACCGTAAAATGACATTTGAGGGACACCATAATGCTCATGTGGTCCTCTGTTTGCCAGCTAACAAACCATGTTTTTTATGTTTTAACGTTTGTGACGTTGTGTCAGAGACTGTGGAATATTTAGAAGAGTAAAACGCTCCTGATTTCCTCCTCATTTGTTGTTATCATGAACTTGGTTTCATTCACCTCCGCTGGCTTTTACCTGGTTGTAAAAAAACAACAACAACAAATTCACACAGACGTGTTACTGGAGTCGCTCAGACATTCATCACTCGTCCCTGCAGCTGAGAAATACCTTCATCTCAGCAGCAACATCCCTTAAATCTGACCCAGATGTCCCGATTGCACGTGGACCTCCACGCTCCCTCCCCAGGAATGAAGAGCTCCTCCTCAGCGTCTCTGGAGCTCGTCCAGCTGGGGATGAATTTAACATGAGTTTGTTGCTCCTGAGCTCCTCTCTGCTGCTCGCCGGCCAGGAGCTTTAATTACAACCTGGATCCAATCATGACGAGCTAATCACCCAGGAGTTCCCTCGGTGTGAGGAGGCTGATGATGCTGGTGTGTGTTGTTACAGATGAAGAAGCAACAGTAATACAAGAAACTTTGAAAGGCACCAAACTAGCTGCTTCCAACACAAATTACAGGTTCATGCAAGGCAGACAGAAACTGACTGAAAAGTAAGCCTCAAACAAACAGCTACTGTGCAAAAACGACAAGTCGGATCTTAAAGGTTCTTGAACCGGAAGCAGCGGAAGACGTCATATACGTGGATCTTTATGTCTCTACTGGGTTTTAGGTAGGGTTGGGCATAATTGTATCGTGTGCAATTAATCGTCAGAAGAACATAAATGGATTATTTTTTGGCACTTGATGATTAATACAGTTAATGCCACCAGGCAGACTGACTGGAGAAATCTCCAGTCAGTCTGCTTGATGCTCCTCTCCACTTTAAATATGATGAACAATAAAAAAATGTTCTGTAATTTATTTATCTATCAACACAATTTAAAATTTAATGTATAGCCTAGTCTGTAATTTTGACACAATTTGGAACAGATTTTTCTGAAGTGTAAATCTTTCCCACTTGGTCATGTGACCAGGACATAAGGGTGTCCAGGGACTCCAGGAGATCAATCATCAAATTAATTGTTATCGGCTAAATACCACAATTAATCGTGATAAATTTTTTTGCCAATATTGCCCAACCCTAGTTTTAGGTTGTAGATGTGACGAGTTAAACAGTTCCACATTTGAGCTCAACTAGCTGAATCAGTGGAAATTTGGGTGTACGCTCTCTGCATTTGGCAGGGGTTTGAGGGAAAACTTTAAGTCCCACAGCAGTGAGAGACACACGGGGTGAAAGAAGACAAAAATCCCTACGTTTCGATGTGTAATTCAAATGTACCAAAAGAAAATTGACGGAGTGAGAAGAGTTTGTTTGTAACTCAGAGGTTAGCGTGCAACAGGATCGACTGTTGGGGGGGGACAGTAAAAATCACAAAATTTGAATCACGATTGTGTAAAAATGGTAATATAAATCAAAATGCCCGTTCAGACACGTAAATTTCAGCTACCTRTGACCTGTTTAAACTTTAGCTGGTGCTTCTCCAGGGAAGTATGTCTGAGCTGTAGAGCTGCAAAGAGGGTTTGGTTTGTGCATGTTTCACCAAAATCCTATTGATTTCCATTATTCTTCCTGCAGATCTTTGGAAATGTCAACAATGTGCGACGTAAAGTCACAGAATGCTAATCTGTGTTTTATTTTAAAGCTGTGTGACATGCATGATGGTGCACATCACTTCTAGTCTGCCGGAATCTGGCAGATCATCAGTCTGATGAGCCAACGTTGTTTATTTCCTGTGTGACTAACGCTCAGCGAGGGCGAGCCGAGAAGATATTAGCCCGGGGAAATGTTACTGTGAAGAACACTGAACTCATTATGATGGGGGGGCATGCTGAAGACGGGCTTTAATGTTTCACGTTTTCTGGAACAATCTGCTTCCTGAGCACAAAGAGGGTTTCAACACATCGTTATTWATAGAAAGCAAGGATGAAGCGCCCCTTTTTTAAAATTCATTCGAGTTCACCGCGAGTGCCAGAAAACTGACAAAGCTCAAAGAGACGCAAAGGAAGCTGAGCAGGAATTAGACCGAGGCGGGGGCTGGTGGGAACAGACTGGAAACTTTGGCACTCAGGTCATTTTTGTGGGACTTCAGGAGTTGGATGTAAACCACAGCTGCTGAGAAGCGAGGAGACTGCAAGACGGAAAACACTTAGAGGAGAAAAGTGATGAGCAAACATTTTGGAGTCAGTTAATGAAAACATGCTGTTTCTCTGAAAACATCACACTAAAGTCTATCTGGTTTCCTTTGTTTCACTCATCTGGTCGACACATTTACGTTCTGATGAAGCTTTATTTGCTCGATCAGTTCCATCTGTAAAGAAAAAACTAATAATAATAATAATAATAATAATAATAATCACCACATAACAATAAATTGCTGCATTACAGACGATAAATCATTCTGTTTTGTGTTAATTTATTGTAAGAATTCAAGAGAATCGATTCAAAATCATCATTTCCAATAAGCTTTCTGCAAATTTTCTCGAAACAATCCACAAACTACCTCAGTTTGATCTATTGAAGGGGAGTCAGATCTGAACTGCTTGTTCTCTATCAATACATGTCCAGTGTTTTAAAAGACTGCATTTGACTTTGTTAAATGATATTAAATATGCAGTTTTTTTTGTTTTGTTTTAACAAAACACATATCTCGATCAGGACTACCAAAAGGCAAACCTCTCAATTTATTGCTCTGACTGTATTCCAGCCTTACCTGGGTTCTCAAGGTTTGCATCATGACTGAAAGAAAGACATCCTGGATCTAACGAGCCTCCTTCATAGGACGACGAGGCTCAGCTTTAGAGGGAGGGTGAGGAGCTCTGCATTAAAGGAGTCTGTGGAGGTGGTTCCTGGATACCTCCATTTGGAGGTTTTCTGGTCTGTACCACTGATCAGAGGTCCTGGAGAAGGCCCAAAACTCACTGGATGGATTATATATCCTCTCAGCAGGGAGACAGTGTTTGGGTTTCTCTCCTGCACCTGTTTGGTTTGACAGAACATTGAGGAAAAAAAAATATAAGCATGTCTTATATTGTTTGTGTCAATAAAATGAGGAAAAACAGCCTCCAAACAATAGATCCAAATGTGAACGGATGAAAACTGAGGCATCGTGGGTGATTTTGACCGAAGGACAGCAGGAAGTTTAACCATATCAACAAAAATACAGCCTGGTTTGGTTCAGGAGTTTCTGTTAAAGCCTCTGATTACAGATCCAGACCTTCATGTCCCGGACCGTTATTTGACTCGTGAGACGTGTCTCTGTCTCTGTGTGACCTTGTGTTCCTATCATTATGTTTCTATCCACCCATGAAGTATTGTTTGATATCTTTGTTGAACCGGTGAAGATATGTTTTCTGTCCTGTCACACCTGGTTTTATTGTTTCAGCTGGAGCGACTACAGTCGACGACAGCTACAGTGAAGAAATCTCTCCTCAACTCGACTACAAAGGTTTGTGCAAAAAAAAAAAAAACACGCAAAGAATCAGGGTGAAGATTCAACTTAGCATATGGTGTGCAAGTACACAGAGTTGTGTACCACATGTACATCTGAGAGTCATTTGTGCAAAGATTTGAACACAATCATCTATCCATTTGTTAAATAAAAATAGTTTGAAGTGAAAAGGGGGAAGTATCAGAAAACACTTTAAATGATTGCAAAACTTCTGGGTTTGGCTTCTGCACAAGATTTTCAAAACTTTGTTTATTTCCTCTGAAAGGCAGAAAAATGCTGCCCAARGTTTTGCAACCATTTCCTTCAGAGCAGCCAGCATCAAACTGAGCCTTGATCTTCTGTTTTATATCACATTGTTTGTCTTTTTAAATTTTTTTTACATTAGACCCAAACTGGTGTCGTCCTCTGAGCCTGAGTAACGGTGCCATTGACTGTCGCTCCCTGCGAGGCGTGGGCTACGGCAACAGGTTGGGCACCCGCTGTGAGATGAGCTGCGACCGAGGCCACCGGCTGCTGGGAAGAAGGACGCTCCACTGCCTCGCCAATCGCAGCTGGTCTGGGACCGCCCACTGTCGCAGTACGCCAAGAGTTATTACTACCAAGCTTTATTACTACCAAGCTTTATTACTACCAAGCTTTATTATTACCAAACTTTATTATTACCAAACTTTATTACTACCAAGCTTTATTACTATCAAACCTTATTACTACCAAGCTTTATTACTACCAAGCTT